TAGCCCCCAACCCGAGATATTAGGGTTTCCTTCTGTTATGAGTACGCCCAGCGTACACAAGTGTACGCCTAACGTACTAGGGCGCGTCCTAGTACGCTCAACGTACCCTTATGTACGCGCAACGTACTCCTCCTGGTCCCAAAATTACAATTTAGCCCTTAGGCTCTCATGGCTTCATCCTTCTATCCCCAGGGACCATAAATGACAATATTGGGATGTTACAAAATGTTTATTTTATTTAATAATCGCTAACAGTTAAACATTTAATATTGACATCTTTATATGATTGTTTTTCTTTTTGGTTTAATTTAGACAAAACGACTTAATAATTTAAGCCAAAACATGGCTTAATGTATTAACACACCAACATATTATCTATTTTTCCTTCTAGTCTTTCCACCCAACTTCTCCCATGTTGAAATTGATAAATATTATGAGAACTATTTGTTGAAATGTAGGGGTAAAATGACCATTTAGTCTAGTTAACTCATTTAGTCTAGAAAAGAAACATACTATATATATATATATATATATATATATATATATATATATATATATATATATATATATCATTTTATCCGAACATAAATCATTACCAATTCAATCAATTTACCTATATAAGACTTATTGACTTAATGAGAAAAAATGACATATCTTTCTCACCTCTCTCTCTCTCTCTCTCACACACACACACACACAACTCTCGTTTATCTTTAAACTACCTTCCGCCGCCTAAACTATGGTTTCCATGACCATTATGAACCTATCCTTACACCCCTCGCTTCCTCCTCTCATCTCACTCATTTCCTCCTCTTATTCTCATAGGAGTACCCCTATATATCATCCCCTCTACTCTGGTGTCGTCCGTAACCATCAAGAACCAACACCTCCTCCCTTTAGAGACCTTATAACTCCGTTTTCAATGTTATAATTCTATAGATTTAAACCCGATGATAAATGGCCCTTGATGTTTTCAATGTTAAAATTCTACTAGGCCCTCGATGTTTTCAAGAATCTTGATGGTATAAGAACTCTAATAACATGGAATTCAATGATATGTAGGATGCCGATGTCTGAGGAGACTAAAACAACTATTAATTTGTTTCTGATATTAGGATTCTATGGACTTAAACTCGATTAAATAGTGAAATAATTGAAAAAGTTTGGAGTTTTTTAAGTTTGATGAAATATTACGGAGACGGAGGTGGAGGAGGAAAAACGGTGGCCGAAGACAGGGAGAGGAGGAAAGGATTCATTGTATATGTATTGTGGTAACCTATAATAATTACAAATAACAAAATCATGGATAACAAAATGATAAAATAGAAAAAAGGAAAAACAAGGGTAAAATAATCATTTACAAGGACTTAACGGCTTATTTCTAAGAATGTTAGTTGCTATGCAATATACTCAAACCATATAGACGAACCACATAAAAAATTGTCGGAAGGAATATTGTTGGTACATTTTGCCAACTACATGGACCATTGTCTAGTTTTGTTTAATATTTTTATATAAAGAAAAAACTAAATTGTGTATACCACATAGATGAGTTTTTGCAATTTACTCTATTACCAGCATTGACAATCTTCACAAAATTGGTAAAAAGATATTCAACGTTGATTTCTTTGTGTATTGTAATATAATTATTTGAAAAACTAATTACATGAACTCTGTTTTCTCCCCCCTAAATATTTAATATCTAAATTGTTAAATCAAAAAACCATAATCACCAACTTATATACCTAATCAAACCAGTGAACGACACAAATCTGCATCCATTGAGAAGGAAAAAATACCCACAAAACAGGATTAACCCCATATTACAGCTATGTACACCAATTTATATACCTAATCAAATCAGTAATCACCATTGAAATCAACCTACAGTCACCAATTCAGGGATTAAGAGCAACATGTCCCTTAAGCAGTCGATCATATAAAAGCTAATCTACTCAAAAGTCAAATCAATCAAAAATTCTAACCCGATTCAGCAAGAGATTAGAAGACCATTTATCAGTAATAGGAACTTCATAACTATGATCAGCACCGATATCATCATGGTGGAGCCACCGTCGGAGAACTTAACTTCGAACTTGGTAGTCATGTTGGGGTAACAAATCCCCCATTTTTGCCCTGTCCCATCACTCTTCAAACCCTTAGTTGCAGTGTCGTTGGTATCAAACAACTCGTAAATGTAAACCTCCGTCACCCCTTCTTTCCTTAGCGGCGTCCCTTTGCCTGATCGGAGATGCTTAACCAAACCTTGCAAGTACATTTTAGAGTAAACGTCTCGCGCCTCTACTGAATTGAAGGGATCGAAGCACGGCCAACCTGTCTCGGCCACAATCACCGGAATATTCTCGTGTCCAGCAACAGCCATCGCTGCAATAACAGCATCCACCATCAGATCGAACAAGTTGCGGTATCTGACGCCGGTGATTGTGTCCTCTCTGAAGTTATAAGCGTGTTCTTGAAACAGAGAGAACCCGATAGGGATCTCCGGTCGTAATTTGTAGACAGAGTAGGGGTACAAACTCACAAAGAACGAAGAGTTTGTTTCCGTCAAGTAATCGAGTAAGGGTTTGATGATGAGATTACTGGCAGGTTCTTGGAACTCAGCGGAGGAAGGCGGAAACGATGTTGTCATGATGTTGACGAAGGAGAAAGTTGTGGAGATCATGATTTGCCGGATCCCCATGTCAATGAGGGATCGATGGATGTTATGAATAGCAGGGATGACGAGATCGGCGGAGGTAACATCGCCCTCAGCGAGGACATTGGTTCCTACGGATATGGCGGTGATGTGCGCACGTGGATAGAACGGAATTACGTGATCGTAGAGCCACCGATAAGCCGCCGAGCGGTTGGCGGAGATGGAAGAAATGAGTGAATTAGGAATAGCGAGGAAGAGAGAGATGTTTGTGTAAGAGAAAACTCGGATGATGTTAGGGTCAGGAACAGGGAGGCGGACGGCGGTGATCTTTAGGGATTGGAGAATGGCAACAACGTCTTCCGGTGGAGGAAGGCCCGGAGATGAGATGTATGTGACGCCAATTGTGGTGGCGGCGGCAGGGGAGAGGATGAAGAGTAGAGAGAGAAAGGTGATGAGAGAGAGTGGGTGGGACATAGTTGCAGGTTTTGGCGATTCGAAATTGCTTCTCTATTGTTAGGGATATGCGCATTACGCCGAATGGCGTATAATAGCAAGCGCTGATCGTTTACTGCCGTTAGCTGTTTACCACCTCCTCAGTATTGGCGGGAGTTTACGGTTGCAAAGATTAGACTATAGGAATTCAACTTTCTTTCCAAGACCTCATTTGTTATATTTACACAAATATCCCTTTTTCTAGAATTAAATTACCCCATCTCTCTTTCTCACACATCTTTGATAAACAACTTCTCACTGTAAATAAAATGCTCATACAAATAAATCTCTTGATTTCTTATTAGTAAACCTCCAATATGTTTTGCAATTTGTTCTCTACTCTACTTTTTATTTTAATTTCTACATGTCTTTTTTTTTTGTTAGAAAACGGGTTGAACTGAAATCTAGAATCTCATTTTTTGATAGATTATGTGTGTCAACTTTGCGTGATTAATGTTTTAATGCTAATTGTTTGAGTTATACGAAATTTAATATGGGATAATCTATCAAATACATTTTTTATCCGGTATAAAAGAAAGCAACTACAGAGAGAGTACAAGATAGTGAAGATTGCAAGTGGAACAAAAATTTATATTTTTCTAATATGATGAACACGAGATGACGATGAACATGGGATGATGATGAAGACAATAAAAAAATTCAGCTATTTATTTGTTAAAAACATCAATGATAGAAGATTATGATTAAAAAATTAGGAAACTCAATTTTCCTTTATTGTAAGTAATTAGATTGAAATGGTTATTACTTATATGCTAAAAAAACCTTAAAGTACCATAGGGAGGTAATCACTTTTTAAACAAATAACCCAAAATACCTGATACACATGTAGAACATTGAGATTCTACAAATAACGTTTTTCAAGTTGAACATCGTCGTCATGAATTATCTCCATAACATTATGCAACTTAGGATGTTGGAAATACAAACAAATATTAGATTTATCTTCAAACCTACCTTGAATTTCACCAAATTTAACTACTCGGAAAAGTTTATATTCACAAAAAGTTATACACGGCAGTTCTTAACAAAAACGCCTGCTATATTCAATTTGATATTTTGCTCTCTGCCATGACCCGTAGATACAAGCAAGAATGGAAAAATATGTTGTAGAGAATTCATAATTCTGTGAAAGATTTTTTTTTCATATAATTTAACAAAGATAAAAGAACAGTTTATAAGTTTTTGAAAACTTAATCTTAATTTCGCAATATGATTGTCAGATTACACAATATGATTGTTAAATCACTCACTACGATATGGAAGTTTATGTCTATTTCTGAAAATGATTTAATTTTTGCTTAAATTTTAGAAAAAAAATCTTGTATAGGAATTAACCAAAATTTTCGTTTCTTTACAATAAATAAAAAGGGGCGGTAGTTTAGGAAATAAATTGAGCGGCAATTTTGGGAGATCTTAAAAAATAAAAACACACATCACACTCCTTCTAGTTTATGCCGTAAAAAACCCTAACTTTTGACTATCATCGATCTCTGCACGTAGGCGTTCTACAGGTTTCCTTTCTTTTTGCAATGTGTTTAATGTGGCTTTTTATGCACTTTCATCTTGATATGAACTGTGTCTCTTACGTTCTTTCAATTCGTCACAAATGTCAATGTCGAAACAAATTACTTATATATAACAAATGTTAAGATTTAAAAACCTTCAAATACCAGAATAGGGTGTTAGTTTTTACAATTTCATCAAGGCTCAAATTAATCAATTGGGAACTTAAAACTCGGGTTTAAAATTGATAGGATTTACATGTATTGATTATATCTAAACACAATATACTTACTTCCTGTTGATCCGAAATAAAACACATACATGTTCGCTTGATGTATGTTATCGATCATTCATGCATGTTCCCTTGTGGCTACGTACATAGCTGAGTTTCTTCCTCATGTTGCTGATTACAAAAAAAGGTAACAGTATATTATTTTGAAACAGAAGTCGATGGGGGTGGTAATGAGCAAGTGCAGGAAAGAGTGTGAAGATGAACAAATGAAGAGAAAGAAAAATGAGGTTCATTGGTTTGTGTTTCTTCCAGATGACGTTGTTTTAAATATCCTTAAAAGGCTTCCTAATGTTTTCCTTCGTTATAACGCTAAGTATGTGTGTAAACAATGGTTCAGTATAATCACTAACATGATCTTGCTAGATCACCATGCTTCTGTTATCCTCCAGAAGTCATATGGATCCTTTACAGGGCGCCTTGTAGATGTAAGGGAAGACGGAGAAGGACTAGAAGCAAAACACGAAAATCTTGACATAAATTTCTTTGGAAAGATAAAGTCATGGTATAACGAGTTTCTTCTGATAACAAACCCCACCAGAAGAAGAAACTCACTGTATATTTTCAATATAATCACCAAGGAAAGATCATTTCTTCCCAAATGTCCAACATCTTGTGCACAATTTGATACAAGCAGATGTGAAATGGCCCTTTCCTTTGACAAATCCAAGGGAGTATACAAGGTTGTTCACTTGTATATGGGTCTATCAATCCAATGTCACATTCTACACTTGGAAAAAGATATTGTCTCTCGTGTTTCCTCAAAGTGGTAAAAGATCAAAATATTACCTTTTAGTATGGATCATAGGGATATGGGTGAGTCGGTTTCACTCAAGGTTCTAAAAAGCTCGCCATGGCGCGCAATGACTCCAAGGCTTGCATGTGCCGCCAAGCTTTACCAAAACGCCGCCTTGACTCATATATGTGTATAAAAATGAATAATAATAGAAAATACATATAAAAATATGAATTATATACAAAATTGCCGCCTTAAGTCACGCCTTACAAACGACGTNACAAAAACTGAAAAGGGAAAACGAAAAACGAAAAACGGAAAATGAAAACCTCCACCTCCACCTACACATACCCCCAACCCACAACACCTCAACTAAACCTAAGGGTGCGTTTAGTTGCGGAAAAATGAGTCGTTTTCTGGAAAAAAAAATTCCAAGAAAAATGAGAATTTTGAAACGCGTTTAGTTCGTCTATTTTTCTACATTTTTCACGGAAAATGAAAATTTTCGTTTTCTAAAATTACAAAGAAGTTGGAAATTTTTGGAAAACCAATAATTATTGTTTTCCATATTTTTCTANCACTTCAGGTTCAAGGAATGTACTTTCATTGGAATGTTAAGGGTGCGTTTAGTTGTAGAAAAACGGGCCGTTTTCCAGAAAAATTTTCCAAGAAAAATGGGAATTTTGAAAACGCGTTTAGTTCGTCTATTTTTCTAAATTTTTCCACGGAAAATGAAAATTTTCCGTTTTCTAAAATTACAAAGAAGTTGGAAAATTTTGGAAAACCAATAATTATTGTTTTCCATATTTTTCTAATTCCAAAATTTTTCTAAAATATAAACACACACTCACTCCCACCTCTATCTACCCCCACCTTAACACCCCCAACCCACCACACCCCTACCTACCCACACCCACCTGTCACACCCCCAAACCAGACGGCGGAAACGTCCGGGGGTGGATGACTTCATTTGTATTATCACAACACATGCATTATAGTAATCAGAGTACAAACAACCAATGTATTTAAAAAGTAAAATATTTACATGTGTTTCAACATTGTATACTGAAACTAATTAGTTGTACAAAAAGAAGAAGACAATACATAAATAGTTCCATCTTCTCAAAAGCTCGGGGTGTACCTGTCTACTGGTTCCCTGAGAATACAAGTAATTTGAAAAGAAAGTATCAACATAAAGTTGAGTGAGTGCATAACTATTTATGTTTTGAAAGAATGTCTTCTGTTTCTTTAATATGTATACTGTTTCCAGAAAATCTTATATTTTCTGTTGTATGTGAAAAGTAGTTTTAATTGCATAAAATTGTTCTATTTGTAAACCAATGTTCTGTATTTGTAATCCTTTTGTAAACGTGTATTTGAGAGTATGTCTGAATCCATCAACTGTTATTGTAAACGGTAATGTAATACTGTAAATTGTATCTTGTAAACTAGTACTTTGAAATACTACATAAGTTTAAATAATTATACACTAACGTATTGTTAATATCTTTTAATGAGTTATTATAACCATACTGACTAGATGTCCTGACCCAACGCTATGAGTGCGCTGAACACATGTTGATAACAATTTGTCACTCACAGGCGTGTATGCCTGACTGTAGCTAGCAGTCCGAGTGCGGGGATGTCAATCCCAATATAGATCTATACACGCATTGTTTCGATCCCCGGCTGGAGATTCTGGTTATAATGTCAGGACTTTACGATATTGTTTAAATGAATTAAACAATCTGTACTACTTGACTCATAAAAGCATATAAACGTTACATGTATAATAGTTATGGAAACTCAATCATTCTGAAATAAATGATTGATAGTATATTCTTGAGTTAGTATTCTTAGCATGTATCTGAAAGAATGTATACGCTTTAATAGTTTTGAATTAAACATTTGTTCTTGTAAAACAATGTACTTTAGTATACTTGAATCATAAATTAATGTTCTATGAATCATAAATTATACCTATTATAATTTATATGTACTTTCTGAGTTGATAACGAGTATTCATGAATGTAACCCCTTGCTCAACATGTTACAAAGGGTATTTGAAACTTAATGAACAAACTTTTATACTTGTATACATATATATATATATATATATATATATATATATATATATATATATATATATATATATATATA